CTCACACCAGCACTCTCATCATAGTCACACCAGCACTCTCATCATAGTCACACCAGCACTCTCATCATAGTCACACCAGCACTCTCATCATAGCCACCAAGAATGAGGGACTGTTTGGTTAGACACGCGGTGTAGCGTCCTTTGTCTTTCTCCTTCAAGTAAGCTGTTTTATTCGCCAGATTGTTTCGCAGTATCATGTATACCATTCCAGCAACCTTCTTGTCGAGAGACTTCCCACATTTAGGCTCTTTATCATCTCTTACGCTTGTGCCTGAGATACCTATGAAAGATGTTTACACATTTGTAAATTGATGAGAATACAATTAAGCTTGACGTTTTCAGTCTATTTCCGTTCGATGGCTCTTCTACAGCTCTTTTGTCACTTTTTCTTACCGAGAATCCCGGCCTTCGTGAAGACCGATCTCACACTAATTTGTTTTTAACCGTAGTTCATAGATATGACTTTCATATATTCACAAACGATGAATGAGTGAGTGAGTGAGTAAGTGAGCGTAACAGTAAAAATCCGATCTTGACCCAATTTTGACCCAATGTTTCCCGTTGCTACTCATTGTATTTTTTTGGGGGGGGAGCATCTTAGTAATTCGACATTCGCACTCGATACACAGTTGACTTCGCTAAATTTGCAAAGCGAGCACGTCGTGAAATACGATTCATAAGCGTTATCGACGAAGCATGAGGTCAAGATGACTGGATATTGGCCGAGTTTTTTTATTTTTATTTTTTGTTTGTTTGCGTTTTTAGGGACCGAGATGAAGTTTTTTCTTGCGCGGGATCAATACAGGCAATCTCGAGCGGGCAAGATGAGCCACTCGGGTAACCAATCATAACACAAGATTTGCTTCAACTTGCTGCTGGCCGCGGGAGCTGCCAGCTATACAATAACTTGAGTTATTCAACAGAGTTTACTGACTGAAGAAACAGTGGATCAGTGGATTTGTGGATTAGTTTAAGACGCGGAATGACCAAACTCCTAAAACACGGAACACCAGTTTGTATGAATCAAGTCTCAAAAATGGAATTGTAATAAAATAGTAAATTATTCATAATTAACGGGTGAATTAAAAGAAGCATAGGTGGTCATTGCTAAATGCAGAGGATTGACAACCATTGGTCTTTTGAATTAGCCCCATTAAATTATTGCTATCATTTTTGTTATTTGTTATCATATTTGTTATTACCATATTTTTGTTATTTGTTATCATATTTTTGTTAACAGTATTAACTGTTAACCCATTTAATCATTGGTTGAATGTTTTCTTAGCGTACAGGCTAAGAAGGCTTAGCCTGAACGGCTAGCCTCCCGGTGAGCTCAATGGATAGAGCGCTGGATTGTTGTGCGGGAGGTCGAGGGTTCAAGCCCCGGC